TTCCACATTGCAAGGCCATGAAAGAGAAATACCCACATATGAAGATGGATTACTCTGACCAAGTTAACACCCTCCTTACATCATTCAATGAGAGGTTTGGTGAATTCCAGAAATACAAGATATACCTGCAACCTTTTTCAACTCCATTTGATGTGAAAGTGGAAGATGCCCCTCCAGATGTCCAACTTGAGTTGATAGACATCCAGTGCAGTGATGAATTGAAATCACAGTTCAAAAATTCGAATCTCCTCACATTCTACAAAGAACTGCCAGATACATCATTTCCAAAACTGAAAGACAATGCTCAATTTTGTGCAAGAATGTTTGGCAGTACAAGCGTTTTCGCTTATGAATTTAAACAAGTGCAAAACACGGAACAGGTTAACCAACAAGAATTTGGAAAATCTGCTGGTTGTTTCAACATCTGCCATTACACCACACATAAAGAAGATTGCCGCCAGCATCCAATCTCAGCCATCACATTAATCTCTTGGAGGTCCGGCCCCCAGTCAGTAAACTTAATCCTAATTTGGCCCTTCTTCAAGAAAGGTTGTGCATCCCTGAGATATATGACCCCTCCACTCCCCCCATTCTCTTGATCTTTCATCACCAAAATTTAATAGAATCAATGCTCCTTACATACAAGCTACTGTGCCAAATTTTATTTCTTAACTATTACCCCTTCCTGAGATATTAAATGAAACAGATGCCAACACATACACACAAATTTTCTTGCTTCTTCTTTTTTTTTTTTTTTTAACTTTTTTGGGTTCAAGAGGTCTCAAAACATGGAGTTTTGCAAAAAATTTGGAGGGTCAAATTTGACATTATTCCAATACTTTCCCTTGTTATGTATACCTAACAGCTTGGAAAGTAAAATTGTACATAAATATGATTTACCAGCATTACTAAACAATATTTGAGTGTCTAGCATTTGAATTTTTTTTACATACTTTTTTCCCAACATAAAACTAATTTATTTTATTTTATTTACAGATCTTATTAATGGTGAAAGTTAAAGAGAAGACAAATGAAAACAAACTATTTGTTTTAGCTTACAGAATTAAAGTCAATAACAGTTGTTAATGAGTTTAATTCTGCAAGTCTAAAGCCATATTTTTTTAATGCTTATTTACTTAATGTAAATATTGTATAAATATTAAGTAAATAAACATTTTAAAAAAATCTTTTCATAAAAAGATATCAAATAGCATTTGTTCACTTTTTAACTAACCATGCTATGCTTATTTAGAAAAATTAAGGAAAAAACATTTTATTTATATATAAGTAAAAAATTAACAAATTCTTGTGTGCTAAATAATAGAATATAAGAGGAGTGGGCAAGCAAGAGGTCAGTAGGAGCCGAAATATATGTTTTGCAAAATGCATGGGAGCCGCAGTTCTGTACTTTTTTATTCTGTACCGCAGTTTTTTTATCACAATATTATTATACTAGCAGACCCCGCCACGCGTTATTGTGGCTCAAAATGTATCTATTATAAATGTATAACACTTCCCCCGTGGGGGTGGGAATTTTTCAAAAAATCTCTTCTTAGTGTATATTCTCTTGACATACCCTATTAAAACGCAATCAAAAATGCAAAAAACTGCATCTAAAATAGTATAATAGAAGCCAAGTTCTTCACAGTAAGCCTTAATCCTGTCCATCTTCCCCAGTGGGGGGAATTTCGACATGTATCTAAATATATAAAATTGCTTGTCCTGACTGACTCACTCATTCATTCACTGATTCATCATCGCCCAGAGCAAACCACTTAACCTAAAGAGGTGAAATTTGGTACACAGTTAGGGTACGTCATGGAAACGCACACTAAGAAAGGATTTTTCGAAATTCCAACGCGGGGGGGGTGAGGGGGAGCATTAAGTCTTAACCGGAAAAACGGCTTCTACTGCGCTATTTTAGATGCGATTTCTGTTTTTATATGCGTTTTAGTAGTGAATGCCATGGCAATGCACACTAAGAAGAGATTTTTAGAAAGTTCCAACGCG